GATTCAGTTGGGCGTAATAGGCAAAATAGCAGAGAAAAGTATACGAATGGATCACGGAAAATGACGAATGGATCACGGAACATCAGTGATGGCACCAGCTATTAGGGAGAAAAAGGGTAAGCACGTCCTGCCCTAAACTAAGTACTTAAATCAGTCTATCCCCTAACAACACGAACAGGTGTCAAAGGAGAAAGTGTGGAGATTTATTTCTTTGTTAATCCATTATTTAATATCCTGGTTGAAATGAGCCGAACAATGTACCACTTTAAAGTCTATTACTAACAAACCCACAGAGTCTCCATAACGCCGTGTTTCTTCAGGTGTTATGCGGCATTCAAGAGGGAATACTGGAATGAGAATGGTCATTGAGCGGCGCGGGAAAACAATCATTTGACCCCACTTTGTATTTCTCTAGATGTTATAAGGGCAAATAGTCCCCGTGGGAGGTGTTTTCTTCAATGGGACCACCAGCAAATAATACGAATAAGTTCGTGAGGTATTGAAATAAGAGGTATTGGGGTATTTATTTAGCGAACTTGAGTATTTTGCTAATGTTTGTAAGTTGAGTAATTTTTGTATTCGGGTGGGCGAAGGGACTGTGAGAGCGGAAAGATCGGATTTTACCAGTAATCCATTTCCTCAAATTTTAAAATGCTGCCGAAAAATGCTATGGACATTCAAATAAAAAGCACGCGAATTTACAGTATTTTAACGATTTAAACTCTACGGACTATGACAACGCATTTAAGGAATGCAAGTACAAAATGACTGGGTTGATAATGGAATTAAAGCAAAAATAGAACAGACACGTTTACCGTAGTAATGTCCACTCCATATTTTGTTAGACGATGACGTTATTTATTTAGATGGAAACCATGATTTTTCAAAATGTAGCGTTTCACTGTAAATCTGGAAATAGTTTTTTCGTTTGTCGTTCTATTTAATTACTTGTGATCGTTTTTCTTCAACTTCAAATGCACAGTTTTAGAAGTTACCTTTTTCAGACGAATGCATTTAAACGTTCCAGGTGAAGACAGCCAATACCGTACATAAAATTACCTACCGTATTTACCGCACTCTATAAAAAGTCTCTCAAAGGCCTGTACCAATTGCTATGTTTGCATCTAGATTACAAGATCTGAAAGGAAAATCTTTACTCAAGACTGGCCGTCAATGAAAGCGGGCAAATATTTGTCCCTAAGGACATATATCACGGGGTTTAGGGTGGCAAATCATTCTAACCGTTGGTTAGCATTATCAAGGGGGTTTGAAAACGACGCGGCCACCAACACCACAGAACCACTAAGACACCTTGTTTGTATACCAAAGCCATGGTCCCTTTAAGCCGGTTTAACGGTACATCTCAACGTCTTGGAACATTTGGAAGGTTCGTGAATGATTAATGCATATTTCGGCTCAGTTAAAAGGCTATCTTTGATATCTGTCTAACCCCGACAAGATTAAACGGTCATTTAAACCAGCTGATTGTTTCAAAACAGCACCCAACCAGCCCGTGTGAGCCGGATGGTTTACATGTTTGTTTGCCGCTCAGAGAACGTGTGCGGCAGCCCTTCTGATAACGGTTTGTCAAAGACAGGAGCATGGTAACGCCGGGGTGTGAATCCGGACCGGCAGGAAGCTTGTTCTCAAACAGTGACGTGGGGTGGAGGCGGTTTATCTCCATTTTGATTGAAGGGTAAGTGCGAACGTGTCACGATGACTTCAGTGTCGAATGGTTATGTATATCGTGGTTGAGTATCATGTGAATAAAAAAAGGAAAGAAAAAAGAAGACTTCAACGTCGCGTTAGTGAGGTAGTGAGGTAGTGATTTGGGTTTTACTCCGCCTTTTGCAGTATTCTATCACGGCGGGGACATAGGAAATGGGTTTAACACACGGTATCTATGTGGCGATTCGAACTCGTGCCTTAGGCGTGACGAGGGAACGATTTAACCACAAGGCTACCCCGCAGCCCCTCAACGTCGAGTCAGAGTGAGTGAGTGGTTTTACCCTTCATTCAATGACCCAATGTATGCATGTTGCGTTGGGAATCGAACGTGACTAACGAACGATTTTATCACTACGCTACCCCACTACGCTACATAAGATCGATTTAAACGTTTTACAATACATATATTTCAATTTGTATGAGGAAGAGACCTAGTTTTCTAAAAAATCAGACAAACGAATGGTTGATAGCATAAGCATAACGCTGTCAGGGTTGGATGAAACAATCAACAAGGCCACATATTTGTACCCATCAAATGCATATTTCAGTCGGTTCCGGACCGCCTCCGTGGTCTAGTGGTAGAACGTCCGCCCGGAGAGCGTAAGGTCCGGGGTTCGAACCCCGGCCGCGTCATACCAAAAAGACGTTAAAAGATGGAACTTGTTCTTATCCTGCCTGGCGGTCGGCATTAAGGAGCTAAAACAACGACTGGTCGGCTCGGAGTCAGTTTACGTGTGTCTTTGTGGGGTATTCATGTTTAACTGGCATGCGGCTATCTCAGTGGGCTAGTACTATATAATCGGCATTAGTAAACACGCGTGTGCATGCACGTTGCTATATAAGGGCAATAATCTTGGTCGCGACGTTAAACCCCATTTCGGGCGGTCGGGCAGCCTAGTGGTTAAAGCGTTCGCTCGTCACGCCGAAGACCCGGGTTCGATTCCCGACATGGGTACAATGTGTGAAGCCCATTTCGGGTGTCCCCCGCCGTGATGTTGCTGGAATATTGCTAAAAGCGGCGTAAAACCATACTCACTCACTCACTCACTTAAACCCCATTTCAACTCACCTTCAGTCGGTTCAGGACAATCATATTAATATAAAACGTCATCGCCATAGAACAACCAGTCTCGATTATCCACCGAAACAGATTCCATTGGGCGTGAAAGGTCAAAAGACAAGGAAATTCCATTGGACGAATACCTAAAGGACTCTGACTAGTTGCAAGAGGGGGCAGACAAAACCTGTACCCAGCAAGTCTATATCTATAAATCAGCAGCACCTCAGATCGCACTCAATGAAAATGCAATGATTTCGGTTGTCCGAAGGCTGTCAACACTTAGATGACTCATAGACATAGGAGGCCACACCGACATTGCTGTGAAACTAGTCATGGTTGTTCTGTTCGTTTCAGCTCTGCGACTGGGACCCAGATAACATTAGATACACCTTTCAACACCATCCCGTCAAAAGAAGCATGTACCCACTTTCATTATCGGAAGGGCGGACAATGGACAGAGACAGTTTGACCTGTGGTTAACGTCGCGTTAACGTTATCGCAACTGACCATCAGCACGTCATTGGTGTCCACGATAGCTTTTTAGCAGTTGACCATTAGCACGTCATTGTTTTGTTGCTGGCATGACAACAGTGTGATATACATGGAAGCAAACTGTCAACAGTGATTGACACTTCCTTGTGACCGGTTCGAGGAAATTGACGAGGCAATGCACTTAGCTCAATATTGCTAGTGACAGAGGGAATTTCATAATGCTTAGTGCTCCGTTATTATGTTGTACGTCTATGTTACAGTCCGCAATTGGTGTCCACTAAATCGAAAGATCGGCACTGTTGACACAACGCTTATATATTTACAAAACGCCACCCTTGAAAATATCAGAAACTGTGAAAGGTCACCTGAAGGTCAATTCCCAGGTGGTAGATGCATCACCAACAAACATTCTGTAACTCCTTTTGTTTGTTTGTTTGCTTGCTCTTCATCACTGCACTCGAGCAGCAATATTTCAGCTATATGACGGCGGTCTGTAAATATTCGAGTATGGACCAGCTAATCCAGTGATTGACATCATGAGCATCGATCTACGCAGTTGAGATACAATGACATGCACCAACCAAGTCGGTGAGCCTGACCACCCGACCCCGTTCGCTTTACGACAAGCACGGCCGGGTTCCCGAAGACCAATTCTAACCCGAATCTTCACGGATAGCTTATTTTGTGAACTGTCACTTGTAACCAGATCAATTCAAGTAACGTCTCCGACAATGACGCAAATTCGCTTTACATGATACCTTGCATGGAGTATATCTTTTTTATTTAAGGTGGATCAACATCTATGGTTTAATGATATAATTTCATTTTCTTCAGGCATGGCTATGACTATGCTAATTATTTCATTGGACCAAACAAAAGTTTTCCATCGTCAAGTACCCACTAAATAACTGACGCTTTGACAGCCAGCCGTCTTTAGATCTGGTTTCACAGTTGAAGAACCAATAATAAGACAATCACGTGGGTCGAGCGTTAGTTGCTCACTGAAACAGAATGATTTGACTTCATGTTTGTTCACTGTCGATGTAGTCAATCCCGCGTGGCAGCTGACATATGGATACACGTGTACCGCCATTATCAGTTCTCACACAACAATCAGCTTGATGCTGTCTTCAGTCTCCACCTGTATGACGTAACCCCCATTATCAGTTCTCACACAACAATCAGCTTTATGCCGTCGTCAATCTCTACCTGTATGATGTGACCCCTATTATCAATTCTCACACAACAATCAGCTTTATGCCGTCGTCAATCTCTACCTGTATGATGTGACCCCTATTATCAATTCTCACACAACAATCAGCTTTATGCCGTCGTCAATCTCTACCTGTATGATGTGACCCCTATTATCAATTCTCACACAACAATCAGCTTTATGCCGTCGTCAATCTCTACCTGTATGATGTGACCCCTATTATCAATTCTCACACAACAATCAGCTTTATGCCGTCGTCAATCTCTACCTGTATGACGTAACCCCCATTATCAGTTCTCACACAACGATCAGCTTTATGCTGTCGTCAGTCTCTACCTGTATGATGTGACCCCCATTATCAACTCTCACACAACAATCAGCTTTATACGTATACTGTCATCAAACCTCGATTGATCTACCTGTTTGATGTACACACTACACGTGTAACCCCCTTTCCGCGCTGTCGCACAATAAGCAGCTTTAAGAAGCCTTTTAACCCTTTCCTACCTGTATGATGTCCACTCTCCGACCAGATTAGGGGCAAAGTTCTCCAGGTGGTCGTGCTGTACCCGGTTGAGAACTCTCCCACACTCCCTCTCCCGCCAGTCCTCGCTGTACACGTGGTAGGACCGCGCCCCACCCCCGGGCAGCAACACCCCTGAGGAGACAAGCAGAGGGAAATGACTACATCGTAAACAGAAACGTGTGGGTTATTCGTTAATAACTATTAATAGTATATTAGTTGTTACTTCCTAATCTGATACCACATGATTATTAATCATAATAACGAATACGTGTATGTATGATGAATAACATCTATGTACTATGACATCCACAATGGTGACGATCATGGTAAGTCAAATAAAAATAAGAAATTATAATGACATTGCAACTCCTTCATCCGGTCTTAAATTAATTAAAAAATTAAAATTAATAATGATTAATTATTCATATTTTCTTGAAAAAATTGTAATGGTACTTTTTGGTCAGGAAAGTGTCTAAAGGCACCTTAAGGGCTAGTAGAATATCAAGATATTCAACGGGTATCCTTGCACGTTATCATCATTCGGGCTAGTGAATGTTTCAAGTTAAGTTGCATCCCTGTAGTGATTCAGGGATTGTGATGAGATCAAAACTAATGGATGGATAGTTGTCCTTATAACGTTCAGGGCAATGAAATGTATTCACATTTTAAACACTCAATGTTACGACGACGTGAACAGTTTCCCAAAACACGTGCTATAATTTTCCTTTCTTCTTGATTTAAGTTGTTACATCTGTGTCAAGTTGATATTCTTGTTGATTAGGGAAAGGATTTCGTCGCCTTTATTTACACCGTGCATTTTACGTAGTATATAATACAACCCGGTTCACAAAGTGTAAGGTGTTAAAACATGTTAACGATAGTATAAACTGTAGTTGTAACGCTATAGTCGGTTTACACAAGTGGGCCTAGCTATTGAACAAGCAGAACAGTAATCAAGAGGGTGAGAATCGTTAGACGTCATCACCAAACGACCTCAGTTAACCGGCCTCAGCTGCAAAGTTGGTCTCGAAACTCATCCAAGAAACACAACCGACAGCCATTATTGCCATCCAATCCACATGTCAAACACTTCCACGTTCCACAACACTAAATGAACACTGTCGTGATGTAGAAAGGTCGGAGATATAACGCTGGGGCCTGTGGTTGGTTGGTTGGTTGGTTGGTTGAGTGGTTGAGTGAGTGAGTGAGTGGTTGAGTGAGTGAGTGAGTGAGCGAGCGAGTGAGTGAGTGAGTGAGTGAGTGAGTGAGTGAGTGAGTGAGTGAGTGAGTGAGTGAGTGAGTGAGTGAGTGAGTGAGTGAGTGAGTGAGTGAGTGAGTGAGTGAGTGAGTGAGTGAGTGAATGAGTGAGTGAGTGAGTGAAAACATGAGCAACGATCCAAGCCGTCCGGGTTCGATGACACGCAATCTGCCATGGCACAAGCCTGACCAACCAATCCCTTCTCAGTCTGCTCTAACGTTAAGCACGAGTAACAGGGGCCGGGAATCCTCGCTGGGCTATATTTTACTTTGAAGGCCAAGCCATCAAAACGTGTACACACGTTACCCACACACGCCCACTGTTAATCGTATACCCAACAGAAGTAAAAAGCAACAACGTCTGAGGGAAGTTATGTGGTTCTGTGCTTGTGGCCAGGTAGCACTTGAATAACACGATGATAGTGGCATATGCTTACACAAAAATAATAATAACACGGGTCACTGAAATAAAGAGAATGTTGATACCATAACGGTTCGAGCGTAAAACTGCCGCACAGCGAAAATATGCCGTAAACTACTGACAGGCTGTCGTAGTTGTACATGAAAGTTAGAGGTGGGTGAGACGCCACAGGCGGATTCAGATGAGGGTGGGTGGGGGTCCCGTGCTCGTGGGTTTCACCGAAGTTGTAAACGTCTGAGACCTGCAACACTTCGGACTTTCCTCCCACATTCAGCTGACACGCCGTGATATAACTGGAATACTGTTAAAATCGGCGTTAAACCTAACTCACTCACTCATTCACTATAAATGCTGGGTCACCCTTGGACACATAGAAGTCCGATCCACAATGGGTTCCTAGTTTTACGACGTTAGTGAATCTATGTTAAACTGCGAACGCTTATTGACCGGGTTTTCTGGGATCAGGGAGGGAGACACAAGCCAGGGATTCGATGCACACGCGTTCGTAGTATTACCACTGTCTAAGTCTAATTCGAACGATAGATTCAACTATCATAGCGCAACAAATGCTTCGTGGATAGGGCTTCGTGATAGTGTTGAACGCACGGCAACCTGCTTCACTGGCTCATCGAGCGAGGAGTGTAATTTACTACCCAGTTCCCCTCGATAACCCGAGCATTATCCTTCAGATGTTATATAAACCATGAGTCACGCCTCCAGACATAATTCACTTTAACGACGTCTAAGAACATCAATGTTCTCGTGATGGGAGCATCGCGAGGTCTCGAATGAACAAGTTTGAATTCGCCCGGAATGCAATGAATTTGGAAGATATGAGAGATACAGACGTGTTAACAAGAAGTTTCTGATTCTGCCGAACTATGTGATCAGACAATGTTCTGTCCTGTCAACGACGCCGTTACGTTATACGTCCAATAAAGCTGAAAACTCCCAGCCTACGCCCGTTTTAACAATACACGTACACCCCCGCACGAACATTGTGCTTCTGCTTGGAGACTATGCCCCACTGTCCTGGTGCTTGTTTCAAGTCACGGTCTAGACGTTGTAATTAATGCCCTGGATGTAATTGAGACACTGACTCTATACAATTAGGGTACTCGTCAGCTGTTGATTGACATACGCTAAAATGAGGTGAAAGTTTGAATTACCAGATACACTGTTCGGGTTTTGAATAACTTGAATGAAATGTAGGCCTGCTACCGTATTTCCTCTATTAGACGCAGGGAATCTAATACAAGCAGGATCAATTGTTCAGTGCAAAAAATAGAAGCCGGGCCTCTAATAGACGCCGGGTCGATCAATTGATACAACTAATGATCCCTTTTCGGGACCTAAATTCGTGGTCATAGTGAAATAGCGGTATTAGTAGAAGACGGGCCTCCAATAGACGCCGGGTCGATCAATTGATACAACTAATGATCCCTTTTTGGGACCTAAATTCGTGGTCATAGTGAAATAGGGGTATTAGTAGAAGACGGGCCTCCAATAGACGCCGGGTCGATCAATTGATACAACTAATGATCCCTTTTTGGGACCTAAATTCGTGGTCATAGTGAAATAGGGGTATTAGTAGAAGACGGGCCTCCAATAGACGCCGGGTCGATCAATTGATACAACTAATGATCCCTTTTTGGGACCTAAATTCGTGGTCATAGTGAAATAGGGGTATTAGTAGAAGACGGGCCTCCAATAGACGCCGGGTCGATCAATTGATACAACTAATGATCCCTTTTTGGGACCTAAATTCGTGGTCATAGTGAAATGGGGGTATTAGTAGAAGACGGGCCTCCAATAGACGCCGGGCCTCTAAAAGACGCCGGGTCAAAGGCTTGTCCGAAATGAATAGAAGCCCGGGCGTCTAATAGAGGAAATACGGTAATTTGCCCATGGCCGGTCTTAAGGGAGGCTGGGCTTACGAAAACGTGCAGGCAAAAGCCAGTATGATTTATGTGGTTCCAAAACATCAGTGTGTGCCTCTGGTAATTAAAATGTTGTGATGCATAATATTTTATAATCTAAACTGGCTTCCACGGTGGATATAGCTTTGGTGAGATCAAGCTATACATCCTAGGTGATATCGCTGCTATGAATTTGCATCGCAGTGCTTTCCACAGAATAGTGACGTCATCGGATAACATGACGTCACAATTAAATGACATCACTAATTTCACTGCACCTGAAGCTGGTTAGTCGTGCACCATGACTGTGGAATATACGTATTTTATGAAAACAAAACCAATCTAGATTTATATAAAAGCAGGGCTAATTCCAAATCAGTATCAGGATTGTTTTGTTTAATTTTATTTTAGATGAGAGAAATGTATTGTGTAATAAAAGATTTCATAGACGATATGTTCGTATAGAAGCTGGCTAGCAGTACATTTTGCACTCAAGACACTGGTTATAACTGTATATGAACCGAGAACGTTGGAAAAATGATCAAAAATAGAATCACACCCTCGTGTCTTTTCATGTGATATAATCAAATATATCAACACTCGTCGATAAAAGTTTAAAACTCCGAGGCAACACCCGTCGATAAAGATATAAATCTCAGAGGAAAGCCTCTGAGATTTAAACTTGTATCGACTTGTGTTGATATATTGCATATTAAAAGACAGGAGGGTGACATTCTCTGTGTAACAGTTCATGAGTACAATTATAACGTAAAGACGAACGTCTCCGTTTCATGAAGGGCACTACTGCAGCGTCTACACAATCAGGTATACGCAACATTAGTCCTGCACCATGACCGTGGAATATATTTATTTTATGAAAAAAACATAATCTAGAAATGCATACAAAAGCAAGTCTAGCCAGCTCAAGCTAGCTCTATTGAAATCAGCATAGGAAATTTATTTTTATTTTTAGAGTCAAGAAGGATATTGTGTAATATAAGATTTCAGGGACTAAATGTTAGTCTAACGCAACATGAACAAAATGTCTTAGGGCATAGTCCCACTGCAAGGCTAACAGCGAACACAATATATCACCCCTAACACACTTTATACAACAAAGAAACGGTTTCCCGCACGCTACAATTATTTACAAATGTAATTGTAAAAAAACACATTCAGAGTGGAATTAGTGTAAATCTGGATACCCTGTACAAGGGAGCACGGCTGGTTTACTCTGTCTCTTTCGGATAAGGGCAATCCCAACTATTTTTATCGTTTTTTTTATTTCCCAGTTGTTCCGTGTAATAATGACGAGGTCATAAAGTAACCTGGATAGCCGAGAATTCGTGTGAAGAAAGTACTGACGGGTTTAATAAACAAGGGTTTAGTTTGACGTATTGCTGACAACATTTATCATCCTGACATTCCTAATTTCATAGATCGCTTATACCGTATGCCCCAAAATCCACCTCCCGCCAAATGCTGAACTTACGCAATCATAGCATGCAAAGGCTCCCCATCCATCCAAGCAAGCG